TTGAAATTTATTAATCTTACATAAAAATTTGTTTTGGGTAAGTGTTTGAAAATGTCCTTGTATTCTCAGAAGAGAACTCTAGCGTTCGATTTATTTACGCCAATAAAAATTATTAATAACTTACGATCAACGCAAGTAGGTACTTATACTAAACAATAAGCCCCCAGTGGCCTAGTGGTGTGTGTCTGCGGACTTACAACGCTATAATCCGGGTTTCGATACCCGTATTGGGCAGAGCACAGACAGCCCATTGTGTAGCTTTGTGCTTAATTACAAACAAACTAAACAATAAATAAATCCTCTAATAAGTATAGGTAATTAAATAAAAAGTTATTATTCTATAAATATTAGAATGCGTTGTTCCATTTAGTTTGCTGCCTTTTAGGTAAATTAATTTTACATGAGCGATGGAACGGGTGTATTTGCATTTACAAAACCAGAATGGAAAATATTTTTTCATGAAAAAATCCAATTAAAATTACTTTTAAAAATTAACAAAACTGGGATTTATACATCTGTCATTTTTATGCGCTGCTGTAGTTAGTCAAGCGGTTCTACTGTGAAACTAAGGTTTGGTTTATTGTTCTTAGATAAACTTCGTAACATTGCCCCCACATGTGTTCGTTTGTTTTTAAACTGACGCAAAACTACATATTTGCTATATCCATCGCGTGTATCGAATCTCGAACTTTAGCGATATAAGTCTTCAGGCTTCCGTTGTGAGGGTAAATAAGTGAATAGATGTGTTTACATTGATTGTCTGTTTGTAATTAAGCAAAAACTACACAATTGGCTATCTGTCTTCTGCCCACCACGGGTATCGAAACCCGGTTTCTAATGTTGCAAGTCCCTAGACATGCCGCTGTGCCGCATATACATTTCTCCTTTCTCTTGGTTACAGCTGTATTTTGCTTTAGTTTGGATTACAAGATTTCCAGAGAGAAAACCGGGCTATTAATTTTTTTCGTGTAAAACCTCTGAAACAGTCTAAGTTACAATAAAACATTTTTTTACCCTTTGCTAAGTAATGTGTTTATTACATCACGATTTAAAATCATAGGCAAACAAAATTTGTTAAAAGCTTATTTGGTGAAAAAAGAATAATAAAATAAAAATATTTTTAACTTGTTTCGAATCTACTAAAAAAAACTGTTGCTTTTTCGTTTTATTTTTGCAGCCGATTAGGTTTTCAAGTTTCAAACCTGCGGCTGCCCAATGACAGGTTAGGTAAACCTAACCTTAGGTAGAAGAGAGGGACAGATATGGTACCTGTCTTTGTCAGATGATTCTTTAAGTAACGTTTAATAGTCGTGTAAAGTGGCAAATCATACATATCAAATTCACATTGAAGTACACGGATATTGGGATAATAACACATTTATTGTTTCTGATAATATAAAAAAAAAAAATAAGTCTAAAAATTGAGATGATCCCACAAACGTGTTTTAGTGAATTGTGTAATTTCCCAGAAAGTGGCCGAAGGCAGCCTGTTTTAACCACTCACACTACTATCGAGTAGTGTGTTATCTGTCAGTCAGTACACACTAAAGTTATGTCACATAAAGGAAGCTTAACGTTGCAATTTGTACTGTCGTGTAAAATGTATCCATATCATGAATCACTAGAAGAATTACGCACTCTGTAGGCTACAACACAGCATGACATATGAACTTCTAAAGCAAGAAATAAAAATATTTATTACTCTTAGTTTTGGTTTTATTTACTCTTGAAACAGAAGAATTTCGGGAACACTGCGGAAGTACATCTAGTTTTAAAACATTTTTTCTGGCTTTATATTTTATAAGTTTTAATATATTTTAACATTTATTTTTAATTGACACTGTGTATAGAATGAAATCGCTCTTTTACAGTTTATTCAAAAATGTGTGAGAGTTCTTTATGACGTAATTTTTTTTTTTTTAAATGTATCTCACGGATTACCAGCAGAGGTTTGTTTGTTTGTAATTAAGCACAAAGCTACACAATGGGCTATCTGTACTCTGCCCACAACGGGTATCGAAACCCGGATTCTAATGTTGTAAGTACGCAGACATGCCGCTGTGCCACTGGGGGGCTCCAACAGAGGAAAGGAAGTAGTCCCGCTAACAACAGGAGATTCTACGATCTCAGGTTTTGAGATGTATTTCCTTTCAAGTTGCAACAGTTATATCATGGAGAAAGAGTTTGGCAAATCTGTACATAAAACAGTATTTAATCAGAATGACAATTGAAATACAGTACACAATGGACAATATAGCAAGTGAGGTGTGTGTGTGTACCTTAAAATAAAAAGTAAGACTAAAAGAGGTACAATGATAGCTTTAAGTTTAACTGAGGTTTGAATATGTATATAGCACAATTACTGGTTATTAAATATCAGTTTCTTACAAATTTATGCAAGGCTATATCATTACTAGCATGTTAAAAAACTACTTGTTTGGCAATTTTCAGCACTGTGAAAATACATTTAAATCTCATCAGAAAAGTAAAAATATTTGACACAAACACTGTTTAGAAGGATAATTTTTTCTTTCAAATGTTAATATATATGTTAAATTATCTGAAGAAAAAAAAAATTATCATGTTTTCCACTAGATAACAGTGGCTTTGTTTTTATAAATCATTATCAATAAATACAAACGAACATTTTTTTTTCTTTTACAGTACAAAAAGACATAGTACGACAGTGGTATTTCTTAGGGTTTAGGGTTCCTTTCTTTGAAACTGTTACTGGGTCAGTAAAGAATTGTATGATTTAAAATATTATCACAGTTATTGTGTCACACATTATTACAAAATAGTAAGAGAATATTGGTGATGAGTTTCACTGGTGGGAATGGTTGATAACAGTCTCACCTCAAATACCATTGTGATTTACAAACTAAAACCTTTAAATTAAGTCAAACACTGAGAGAAGTATATATCAGTTTTCCAAAATTAAAACATCTTAATTAAAACATTATCTTGAATTAGTAAAACTAAAATATTGAGTGCAAAGGTGCAGAGTTATCACTTCTAATAATTTACACTAACTATACAAATATAAAACTGCTAGTTCTCTTATTTGTTTAAACTGGATATTTGTGTCTATGCACATATTATATCGAAGCAAATATTAAAAATTAATCTGAGTCTAAAATAAAGAAGATAAAAATTGCACACACTGAGCATTTGACAAGAGTATTTTTACTATGTTATCAAAATTATGTAGTCACTAGTGAAAGTACCCAGCTTCGCACTGGTTATTAGGTTGATATATTTTATCAACTGCATAAAATTTATCATGAAAGTACAATTATTGATCCAATTTTAAACTTAAATCATTTCTGAAATAAGGTATTTTTTGTTATATCACCAACGTTTTTAATAAAAAATAAACCTCTTTAATTAATGTAAACTCTAATTAAAGAAATCAACAAGTATCATTCCAATTTTGTTGTTTATATATTTCATTTTATACTTTTAGTACATAGACTAACAAGAACATTAAGTTATACTTTTGTTGCTAAACAACATGACAAAGAAGCTATCGTTGGAATACATTGTTACCAAAATGCACTGGCTTTTCTATATATTAGAAGTTGTTAATCTAACTGATATACTACTATTATGGGACAAACATACGTGCATACAATGATATACATGTATAAGTAATAATACCCAGGTGCACACCCTCAGGGTCCACTTAGTATAGGTGCAAAATTCTGGTTTCTAGGTTCTTTCCTCTTGGAGATATGGCAGTCATACACACACATACATACCCTTTTATTATTATAGATTACAAGCACATTTGACTAGTTTTCATTTTATAAACAGTGAGAGTTAATCTCCACTTATTGCATGAGCCCATATACCTAAAAAGGACAAGTCTATGTCAATTATTATTAAACCAAGCTGGCAAATATTACAAGTATATAGAAAATGTAGGGGTTTCAGCCATCAGTATTTCAGGGGGGAAGGGCAAGTCTGAAAGCCTGAGAACTCACACATAGTCAGTAACACTGTTTGAGTGTTTTGAATACAATCTATACAGCTAGTTGATAAGCTGATAAATTGCATCACAGAGTCTTATCACCACTGTGAAACTGCTGTTGTATACTAAATTTAATTAAACTTACACTGTGAGATCATTATTTGATGTGGTAAAAAGATTATTAGAAGAATTAAATAATGTACAGAAGCAGCTGCATACTTACATAAAGATATATATATAAACACACACACAATAATATGTATATATATATATATATGACATTTTAGTTTCATTTTTTAACCCCCATTCTATAAAGGTATGTTCAATGAGAATGTTTATTACTACTGACTGAACCTTTTTTGCTAAAATATAAGTAACATTAAAACTAAATCATTTTTTTTGCACAAAAATCAAACCCTCAAAAAATACCGGTGTTGTTGAAAGGAATACAGTACTATAGGACGGGTCCAATAAATTGTCTTTCTTTGATTGAAAGTAATCTGTTATGTTTAAATTTTACTCATGTGTACTATTGTATGAGAAAGAAGCAGATTAGGCAAGGAATGTATATAAGAATGATATAGAAAATCTCAAAATTAAACATTGCTCTTAGACGAAAGAGAATGAAAATGGGTTTATTAAAGTACACAATGAAAGAAAGTCTTAGCAGGTGCAGGAAACTTTCTCAAAAAAATTTGAATCCCTGGCTGTTGATGAGGTTAAAGAAGAAAAGGAGCTTGGAATTTTCTTGTAGGGATTCTCTGAAGTATACTGTAAAGATCTTGTAGTGACATTCATGGAAAATAAGAACTAGAATTTTCTTACCATGTTCTACAGTTCAGGATTTTGTAAAAAACATTGAAATAGCAGAAAGCAATTTATATATATATATATATGACTTTTTATTAACTTCTAATCAGAGCTATGTTCAATTAAAACTTGTGACACATTACTGCAGTTGCAGAATCATGTTCTGACCTAAAAATTAAGTAAACTAGATCCAAGATATTTGGAGGTGTAGAATGAATTTAATCAAAAAAAATATTTATTTAATAATATTACATTAATTCTTACAGACCAGGAAAAACAAAATTGACATTTTGCCACTGATGCAAATGAACTGATGTGTTGAATGTTCATCCTAACAGGCAAATAATAATATTAAAACTCTAAAACTTGTGATAAAAATCATGCTAACTGCAGATGTCATTTTTTCCACATTCCTCTTGTCCATTGTGGATTAAAAACCAAAGGGTTCTAGGACAGTTTGCTACTGAACATTTCATTCCTTGACATTTTGCTACCGGTCTTTTCATTACTAGGGTATTTCGTTACCAGGTCATTTTGCTACCTGTTCCAGCTACATAAAAATAGCTCATTATGGCTCTACATCTATTCGAGGAAAGCCTGAATCATTTTTAAAAAGTTCAGATCTTTCAACATTTTAAATAAAATGCTTTACAACATAAAAGCCTTTTTTATTTTGAAGGAGTTTTTCTCTAATAAATTAATATTGAAGAAATATTTACTAATATTTTACTGACTGGAGTGTTTGTTTAATGAACTAATACTGATGAAATTTTATTTTATTATCTTAAATAAGATATGTAAGGGAGATTATGACATAAAATTATCAGGTAGCAAAATGACCTAGTAGCAAAATACCCTAGTAACAAAAAAGACTGGTAGTGAGCTGACCAGTAGCAAAATGTTCAGTAGTGAACTGTCCAGCCACCAAATCAAAGGTGTGTAAAAACAGCAGTTTAAAGTATCATCCTGCATATATAAATAAGGTTTTGTAGGATCTTTTTTCTGTCATTCTCCAGCCCAACTGACAAGTTCTGGTATTAAAGAAAAGCCTCTTGAGCAGTGACTTCTAGAAGACAGAAAATAGACCTCTGATTTTGGATCTGCGATTGACAAATTAAGAGGAATGTGGAAAAACAAAAACATCTACATGACTTTTAACACAATTTTTAGGCCTATTGATTTCTAATGCTTTGCCAATTTTTGGCACTTAACCAAAAAAAGGCAAAAAATAAGTAAAAAAACTAACCTTACATAAATGATACACTATATTACCTTTTAGAAACATACAATGAACATGAAAATCTTCTGAATGATTTGAATAAAGAAATATATTTTCTTCTAATTCTTAATAACAAACATAATACATGCAATGTTTGTCAATGGTTTAAATCAACTGTTGCATCCTTACCCTGCTGCATCAACTTCTTCATTAAAAGAAAAGGAGCATGTTTCAGTCGATGATATTTCACCCTGCAGTTCTGACTAAATCTTTTCCCACAGATGTCACAACTGAAACGTTTCTCTCCTGTGTGAATCATATTATGTCGTCTTATTTCTCCCTTACTTTTGAACTTTTTTCCACAAACATCACAAGTAAATGGTTTTTCGCTTGTATGGATCAAATGATGTTGCTTTAAGGTCCCACTCTGGGTAAACCTTTTACCACATATATTACACTTGAAGGGTTTCTCACTTGCATGGATCATCTGATGCCTTCTTAAGTTTCCACTTTCTGAGAACCTTTTCCCACACATGTCACATTTGAATGGTTTCTCACCAGCATGTATCATGAAATGTTTTCTCAGGCTTCTACTTCGTGTAAACTGCTTCTCACAAATATCACAAGTAAAAGATGGATATTCACTGTGTATCCCCTGATGTTGTTTCAAGACTGAAATATCTATAAAATGTTTCCCACACAAATCACAACTGAAAAGTCTATCATCTGTATGGGTCAGCAGATGTTGCTGTAAGGCATGACCATACGGATATTTCTTTCCACACCTGTCACACAGGTATGTCCATTCTTTGTTTTCTGAATTATGTGTAAGAAAATCCTTATCACCATTTTCACCATGATGATTTTTAGTTTTAGTACTTGTTATGTTCTGTACTGATACAAATGTTCCACACTCACTAACGTTGTGGCTGCTGGTTTCTTAAAAATGAAAGGAAAAAAATACAAATTACAAGCCTATTTTGCAACTCATTATACTACTGAACAGTACAAAAATTAACAATATACATTTATAATAACTTTAACACCCAGACTACGAGTCAATGAGACCAAATTTCCATGTTAGAATTTTAAAAAGTGTACTCTGATAAAGAGCTTTGTCTGTTAACCTCCAAAAATGACACCTTACTACCAAAATAACTCATCTATTAATAATGTTTGACCATGAAGATACAAAGTTTAGGAGGTTGCCTCAAATGTGTTCCTCTTGTACAAAATATCAGAAGTGTTCATATTCAAACAGATACCATGCTTAGCCAAAGTTTACAGTAGCAAGCTTTGTTGTGCGTTCCTCAACCATCTGTACTGACAGAACTCATGAAAACTGTGGATAAAATGGCTTTATAGAGCAGAAAAAACAGATCTTATATGGTGCAACATGTGGGGCCACTACTGTGTTTTGTATGAGTTTTACTCCCTCCTAGCCTGGAAACTAGTAGTGTGAATTTGACTATGTTGGTGTGCAATTCAGGTTTCAGATATTGCAAAGAATTCAAATCTCTGTTCCAAATTAAAAAAAAGGAGAATACTAGAAGGTTTTTGTTTGGGAATCAACCCACCAGAAATGTTTCCCTAACTTACAGATTGGGTGTTAAATGCACAGAAACAATTATAATTATTAATGACCAGAGCTATTAAGAGAATTAAAATGGGTACACCATAACAAGTTTTTATTTTGTTCTTTAGCAAAATTTTAGGGCAGAACAATTTTTAGTAGGATTGCTATACTTGTTTTCAACTACCTGGTTAAAACAACTGAAAATGGATAAGAAGTTTAAACTTCTTATACTGCTATTATTACCCATCGTGATTAGAACTTCATGAACTGTACAAGATTTATTTTTCTAAATGATACCTTAATTGTACATCAATTCCTGTGGCAGGGTTGGAGAAATGTTACATGGAAAGTGATAACAATTACATATTCTAGATATTTCATTAATGAGTTACTTTTTAGGTTACATATAATGAAAATAACAGAAAATGTTACAAACATGTTCAACGCTTTGATGAATTTAAGTTTTAACAATAAATACTTCAGGTTTTAATACTTCTGACTTACATATAATCTTGTGTCTTGTAAGACCAGAAACTTTTAGAAAAAATATGTTGTCCTGAATAACAGTAAAAAGGGATTAGGTGAGGAGATGCAAATCATACTTTTATGTATCAATCTAATAATAAATTTTAAGTTTAACATTTAATGCATTAGAGTGATAGAATATATTAGCATACAAATGGACTTGGTAAATAAACTTAATCTAAAAAACATATGGTACTGATACTTAAAGTTTCATAATCTTTTTAAAGCCAAGAATAATAATTGTTGTACTTCCAAACTCTGTGTCATTACCTCCCTGTTGGCAAACTGGTAACTTATACATTTTTTAACACAACTACAGAATTCTCTACATAAAATATGTCATTTTTCTATCATGTTTTTATAATCAGGAAAAAATAAAAAAAGATGAAAATAAAAACTTCCAGCTTTTTACTATGAAAAAAAATTAACTTTCAGTTATAATATTTTGTACACATTATCCTCTCATCAAATTTTAGGGTCTATAAATGAAATTCACTACTCAAAACACAAATATTTCATTTTTAGTAATTTCTATTTTTCAAACATCAGGAGAACTTCTAGTGCTAATAGTTGATAATCAGTATCTAAACATAAATCTTCCAGTTCCAATAACTCATACTCACTGTTCTAACGTAAATCGCTTAATACTATTCTCACTATTCAAACATAAAACTTCCAGTTCTAATAACCAACACTCATTGGTCAAACAAAACACAGCTAGTTCTATTCTCACTATTCAAACATAAAACTTCCAGTTCTAATAACCAACATTCATTGGTCAAACAAAACACAGCTAGTTCTATTCTCACTATTCAAACATAAAACTTCCAGTTCTAATAACCAACACTCATTTGTCAAACAAAAAACAGCTAGTTCTATTCTCACTATTCAAACATAAAACTTCCAGTTCTAATAACCAACACTCATTGGTCAAACAAAGCACAGCTAGTTCTAATCTCACTATTCAAACATAAAACTTCCAGTTCTAATAACCAACATTCATTTGTCAAACAAAAAACAGCTAGTTCTATTCTCACTATTCAAGTATAAAATTTTTGATATACTTGTAACTAACATTTGATGTTTAAATATAAAACTTCCAGTTCTAATGAAGGATATTCATTGTTCAAACATAAAACATTTAATTCTATTCAAACATAAAACTTTCAATTCTAATGAAGAACATTCATTGTTCAAACATTAAATGCCTAATTCTATTCTCACCATTCAAACATAAAACTTTCAGTTCTAATAAATGATACTCATTGTTCAAACATAACACATCTAGTTCTATTGTCACTATCCAAACATAAAATTTCCAGTTCTAATAAATGATACTCATTGTTCAAACATAACACATCTAGTTCTATTGTCACTATCCAAACATAAAACTTCCAGTTCTAATCAATGATACTCATTGTTCAAACATAACACATCTAGTTCTATTGTCACTATCCAAACATAAAACTTCCAGTTCTAATCAATGATACTCATTGTTCAAACATAACACATCTAGTTCTATTATCACTATCCAAACATAAAACTTCCAGTTCTCTAATTGTTTAAACATGTATTTTCTGGTTCTAATAATTACTTCTCACTATACAAATACAGAAACTCTGGTTCTAATTACAGATATTCAATGAATGCTTTCATTTGAGTTTACTTACTGGTTATAAATTTTTTTACAAGTTACAGCTTTTAACGTAATGAAGAATATCGTTTTCTTTAAAACAGGTACAATTTTTTTATCACTAGTGCAATTGTTCTCAATTACACAGATTTTCATGTTGATTTAAATACAAAAACCTCCATTACCATTAATATCTGTTTAATGTTTAAACAAAATCTTCTGTTTATAATAACTGACACTCCTGTTTAAACATGAAACTTCTGGTTCTAATAACTGTTGTTCATTAATTAAACAATATAAAAACTTTGCGTTACAGCAACTGATCAATTATTTAAATATAAAACTTGAGGTTCTACTTATTAATACTCACTATTAAAACAAACATTTTAGTTAAAATAACTGATAGTTAATACTTATGCTGTTTCTAGCTGTGGCTACTCAATAATCAGACAAAATGAAAACCTTAGGTCTAAGTAACTGATACCCACTACTCAAAGTTTCAGAATCCAACAGTTCCATTTTTACCACACTTTCAGTGTACCATCGAGTTTCATCATCACTCTCACTGAACATAGAAACTATTTCATTTCCAAAGGAAACAGATGATTCTTCTTCTGTTATAGTTGTTTTCTAAAACAGAATACTAGCTGATGGTTAAACAGTATACAGTACATGATGAAAAGTTGCCAAAATAGAGTGAGTTTGGTCTTTTCTTAAATAGACGACTAGAGTATATAAATTATAAATGTTTAGTTTGCAAGAAAATTAAATATACAATAAAAAGTGTAGATAATGAGATATAGAGAAATATAAAAAAACAAGTTAAGAAAATTACATCTAAAACTAAAAGTTATGAAAATTTCTTGGCTCATAAAATGACATTTAATTTCAAGGTTTTATACTAACTTCAAATGTGAAAAAAGGGTTACTGGTAAATTTTTGTTTCTAAAGAGATTTATAGGGGACCTCATGAAGAATGGGGATGTGGTTAAAGTGTTTAACATATTGTCATTAATATTTTTACAATTGGCGGTAAAGAAGTTCTCAAACAAATCAATTTCTTGAAACATGGCAAAGGATTTGATTTCCTTAAATTTCAAAGATAGTGAAAAATAACTATTTTTAGAAAAGCTTTACAAACTTCTTGAGTTTTAAAACTTTTAACCTTGTAAAGATATATCCATCTCAGGCCCATACGCAGAATGTTTGAAAGGGGAGTTCTGATTTGCAAGATCAAAATCCAACACATGTTGTGGGCAAATCATGCCAATGTTATGGGGGTCTGGAGGCATGCCTCCCACAGAAAATTTGTAAAACATAGGTGCTGTGAGATTAAATCTGGAAGCAATTTTGCATGAAATATAGCTTAAACAATTGCATGGCTGTTCAAACATCCAATGAAAAGTCAACAAATCATCATTCTATTGTAACACTGTATGGTTAGCTAGACTTAAATTAGCATAAATATGTATGTTTTATTATAGTAAAATATTGTACTATCTACATGCAGAGTAGTTATTAATTGTTAAGTTATATTATCAATTTAAATAACACTGTACAACAATAGTATATTAGCTATTTCAATCATTGGTTATCATATATGTACATGTATACACTACTGAAATAACATGTTAACATGCTCCATTCTTCTGGGGTGCTTTTCCATAAATAACTTACATACAGTTTCAATGTTGATAGCAGTGTCATAATGATTATTTATTAAATCTAAAGCACTCAGTCTTTCTTCAGTTTGTGTACACCTCAGGTAATTATTCAACCGGCAGAAAGCAATGCCGAATGTTCACAAGAACATGAAGTTAGTGGCAGTATTTTTTTACATCACCCTCCTCCCCCTGCATATGTGCGTGCACCTTGAAAAACTTAGTAAAAAATTAGTGAAGGCTTTACTATTCTTTTGTCTTGTCATCTCAGAATTTCCTGATTATTGGAAGATTGCCAGTGTGGTCCTATTTTTTTAAAAAGAAAGGATTCAAGGATGATCTAGAAAACTACAGATCTATTAGTGTGATTTCTGTTACTTATAAAAAATCAGAATCTCTTGTCAGAAGTAATTTAGAAAAGTATCTGAAAAGCTGGCATTTAATCAATGATTCCCATTTGGCTTAGAAAATGATTTTGTTACTCCTAGTTTGTTCAACTTTTTTTTATGGAGCTTCAGCTGTTCTTTTGGACGAAGGTATCCCAAATGATCTTGTATATCTTGGCTCTTATAAAGAATCCTTTGATATAGTTTAATTAAAGATTAATTAGTAAGTTGGACGATAAAGGAATTGGTGAAAAAATTGTTACAAAATTGGCTTACTTATAGAAAGAAGAGAGTTACGATAAGTGGGAATTTTGTCAATTGGGAAAATATAACTAGTGAGGTTGCTTATGGAACTGTTTTGGGACATTTGTTGTTCATTATTTACGTTCATAATTTGGACAGTTTCTTGGAAAGTGATGTTTTTGAATTTGCTGATGATTCTAAATTCTAGGAACAGCTGATACTGTTAACAATAGTTATTCTATTAAAAAAACTTTGACAATCTTAGTGAATGGACTAGAATATGGAATATCAGTTTGAATACTGATATGTGTAAAGTTAAGCACTTTGTATAAGGAAGTTCAGAAGAATTATTTCTAAAATGAGGAGAACAGCGACATGTGTGATTATTGACAAATCTTTTAAGCCAACTGCTGGGTATGAAGATGTGGTGAAAAGAGCAAATAGAGTATTTGGATCTTTGTATAGATATACAAAACTTAAAAGCAATAAGGTTATTATAGTGTTATAGAACTCTTTTGGCCCCTTACTACAGAAATAAAATTAACATGGTGGAAAAAGTGCAGAACTGAAATATATCTGATTTAATTCATTAATTCTATAAAGAGAGGTAAAGGTTTTGAGATCCTTTTTAATATATATATAAAAGAATTAGAGACTTGATTCAAATGTTCAAGACTGTTAAGTAAGAGCAGTCAGTACAATTTAAATTTTTTTTTTGGATATGAATATGAAGGGCTGTGATTTGATTAGTTTTAATTTTTTTGCTCTTCTTTATGGGGAGAGGGTAACCTGAATTAGCTGAATGGTCTTTTACCTTGCTTTTTCTTATGGTTTTTAATATTATTATATTAGATAGAAACAATTGGGACACAGAAATTACAAAATCTTAAGAAAAAACTTCACTACTATCAACTAAAAAAAGACGATCACAAAGAGTCAGCAAAGTTTGTTTCATAAAGAACTGAGCTTCAAAAGTTTTCATTAAGTCAGAGATCATGTAAAAAAAAATTGAAACTATATCTCCCACAGTCTAATGTGTTTATTATTCAAGTGACATTCTTGGATTTCTTTTTGTGCCAAGGTAAGCCACATGGATGATGAAGAGAAAAATTTGGAAGGCATCTCGCTTTCAATTTTGTTATAGTCAATATACATAACATACAGACAATAAGAGATCATTTGGTCCTTCAAGGTTGTCCTCGTACACCTATTCCTGAGAACAGTAAAAATTTAAACCTATATTTCTCAGGTAACCATAGATTACTGTTTTAAACTCCCATAAAATGCTGGCTCCACTACTGCTGATGTCAACTCATTCCATAAGTCATTCATCCTGTTAGGAAAAAAAAACTGTTTTATATGTGATCTAGTCTGTCTTTTACAAATCTTAAACTTGTAACCTCTCATTCTATTGTGAGAATACAGCATAAATAAATCAGAGGCCTTTATCCTGTCTTCCAGATAATCTTTTAAACTTCACTACATCACCTTTTATCCTACTTTTCTCAAAACATAATCAGTTAAGAAGTCTTAACCTATCCCTATGAAATAAGCCTTCAATCCCCAGGATCATCTTAGTAGCCTTTCTCTGAGCTCTTTCCAATAAGTCAATATTCTTTCTTAGATAGGAAGACCAAAACTGTAAACAGTAGTCCAAGTGAGGCCTAACTAGTTAACTGTCAAAAGAGGTAATTAACTCTTCTGATTTATGATATTTTCAGGTACATCTGATTTCTCTTTAGAGTGACATGAGATAGACTCTGTAATGACAGGTAAAGGGAGGAGACCTCACTAGCTTCCCGAGGCAAATCCAAGTCACATCCAGCTGGACATATCCACCTGAAACTGCTTGAGAGATATTGTTATGGGATGCCCTGTACTACACTTCCACTTAACACCCTAGCCCTACATCTCAAATGTGGGGCTGGGGTCAGCCAGTCTTTTTGCAGGGGAAGGCACCATTCATAGAGAAAACTCTCCATATCAATATCCCCAGCAATTTGCGACTGGGGAAGTTAGGGTTCTTCCCATGCTCCACTAGAAGAATGAGGGGGAGGAACATGCATTGAGGAGAACACCAGAGTGTGCATGGATCACAACCACCTGGAATTCAAACCCAATCGAAAGACAGTGCAATGGGTTATTACGACTACAGACAGCAAGTGAGAGCCAAATGTAAGGACAGGACTACACATGGTGCTGCCTGGTTTTTCCTTTTTTCCTTCTTTTTTTGTAAATGATGTAGAAATGGTTATGTCAATTGTATAGATATACAGTCAAGGCAGTCTTGCAGAAAATCCCATAACAACAGTGAGCACTGAGCTGAGACAGATGGGTTTAATTCTTTCTGTTCTCACCCATTCAATGCAGATTTTGAGTAAGTCAGTGAGACAACATGGCCACTCAGTGGGATCTGATGGCACCAAACGTAAGGAATGCAGTGATTAGTTTACCATGTTCAATCTAGCATGTATTGCCTCCTCCTTTATTAGTTTTTTGTTTTGTTTTGTGATCATTTGGTAATGGGTTAGAATGTGCACATAAATAATAGTACATATATGAAGGTACCATGAAATGTATGAGTACCACGTAGATGACTGAAAACTCAACAGGCAAAAATCACCACATTAGAGCCTCTGGGTAGACTAGAGAATGGTGACTGGAAGGAGGCAAAACCAGAAGCACATGAAACTGCCCAATTATATAATTAATGAGAGATAAAAATGTTAGATGTAGTCCACATCCCAACCTGTAAGAACTTCACTAAAAGCTGGCAACAAAAGCAAGAGAGGCTATGATATGCCAAATCTGGTAGGAGGAGATGTGAAACAGTGTCGTTATGCTCACCCATAGAATTATATATACGAGGTGGATGAGCTGGCAAACCTAATCAGTGAAAACTGAAGGGGATAAGTCCCGAGAGTAGAAGGTCTGCCATGATAAAAACATGAGATGGCAGCTCCATGAAAAGAGGTAGTCTGAGGAAAAAAGCAATGGATAGCCCATGCAACATGGACAAAATTATCAGAATCAATATGATTGTACAACAGGAAAACAGAGAGGAGTAATAGATATAAGAAAATATCCAATTGTTCTCATAGAAGTCTTCAGAAGAAAGGAGTGATCTGGAAACAATATTAACTGGTCACCATGATAGAGAATGTAAATGTCTGAATGATGACGATCACAACCAAAGAGAAGAAAAATTATGTGTTAAGAGACAAATAAAGTAAGGAACATGAAGCAACAGTTCAAAGGGGGAATGAACCAAAAAAAAGGTTTCAGAAGAGGGATTTGATGAAGGGATGAAGGGCAAAAAAAAGGCCTTGAAGAGGTCCAT